CAGAGAAACCCTGTCTCAAAAAAAAAAAAAAAAAAAAAAAAAAGGGAGAAGTGGCAGTCTGTCTGTAATCTCAGTACTTATTGGTCAGAAGCAGAGGATCTCTGGGGCAAGCTGGCCAGCTAGAGCAAGCAAATCTGTAAGCTCTGGGTTCATCAAGAGACCCTGCCTCAGTCAACAGAGTAACAGAGTGGAGAGCAAACGAGAAAGATACCAAGCGCTTGCGCTCTCTCTCTCTCTCTCAAACACACACACACACACACACAAAGTAAAAAAATATATAACACATATTCAGATATCTATCATTCAAATTCTACAATTAACATTATGCCATGTATTTTGTCTATCCATTGTTACCAAATTTTAAAAGCACCTAAATCTCATTCAGGAACTATTCCTAAAAACCACCAAACTTTGCCTAAAGGAAGAGAGAAAAGTTAGCTGGGTGGTGCTGAATGCCTTTAATCCCAACAGTTGGGAGGCAGAGGCAGGTGGATCTCTGAATTCAAGGCCAGTTTGGTGTATGGATTAAAGATTAAGTTCCAGGACAGTCAGGGCTACACAGAGAAATCCTGCCTCAAAAAAACCCACAAAAGTAAAAAAGAAAAGAAAAAGAAAAAAATAAAGAGAGAAAGGCTATTGTGTAATTGTATCTGTAACAAAAATCTTCCTTAAACACCTAAATCCAGCCAGGCATGGGGGCACATGCCTTTAATCTCAAGACTTGGGAGGCAGAGGCAGGTGGATCTCTATAAATTCAAGGTTAGCCTGGTCTACAAAGTGAGTTCCAGGACAGCCAGGGCTACACAGAGAAATCCTTTCTGGACAATTAATTAATTTTAAAAAAGAAAAGAAAAAAAAGAAAACTTAAGTCCTTCTATATATACTACATAAAAACACTTGGCCCGAATAATCGATCCTAATGATTAAAAAAATACAGAAGTCATGACAAACAGATAATTCATAGTTAAGTAAGTTTGAGACTGCAGGCATGGAACTGACTCCAACAATTTAATTTCCACAGTCCCCAACAGGGTACCCAATCAAGAACAGATCACTGAAAGACATTCAAGCCAATTATAGGATGCCACCATTGTACAGAATAGTACAGGCATTCAATACTGGCAGACATGGCAGGAATTAGGAAATTCCAGGGGACAGGGAGCACACTAAACACTGGAGTGGAAGGTGTCTCTTACCATTTGGAAGACCACCCTGCTCTGTTCTCTTTCACATGTACGGAAGACTACTCGGTCATCAGGAGCAACAAAGTCCACTGTGCTGAGGACCTCTGCAAAACACAAGCACATGGACCACACCATTAAGATGCAAGTTCCAGCCACCCTGAGCCCTGGAGGCCACAACAAGACTACAACCTGGAGAGGAAAGAGAGTGGATTCTAGATATATATTCTTTTAAAAAGAAATTGAAGATGTCTTTATTTATTTTATGTATGTGAGTACACTGTCACTGTCTTCAGACACACCAGAAGAGGGCATCATATCCCATTACAGATGGCTGTGAGCCACCATGTGGTTGTTGGGAATTGAACTCAGGTCCTCTGGAAGAGCAGTCAGTGCTCTTAACCACTGAGCCATCTCTCCAACCCCGATATATGTTCTTCTTAAAGACATAAATATGCAGCCGGGCAGTGGTGGCACACGCCTTTAATCCCAGTACTTGGGAGGCAGAGGCAGGCGGATTTCTGAATTCAAGAGTTTGAGGCTAGCCTGGTCTACAGAGTGAGTTCCAGGACAGCCAGGGCTACACAGAGAAACCCTGTCTCGAAAAAACCAAAAATAAAAATAAAAAAAAAAAAAGACATAAATATGCACCTGGGAAGTTTCTGAGTTGCTGACGATGGTCTGTTTTCAAAGTGATGTAGTTCACTTTACAATTATTGGGTAAGTGACAGGTTTACAGTTAGTGTTCTGCAATTTAAAACGCTATTGGCATTTTAGCTGGGAGAAAGGGCTATATATGAAACTTGAGCCCAAACTGTTCTAGAAATCGGTGCTCTAAGGTTTCAGCAAAGCCATCATGTCTTAGCTATGCAGTGCCCAGGCAGCATGAGCTGAGGCTGACTGCACTTCACTCAACCTTCCTTATCACCTGAACTTGTAACATTTGTAAATTTACTTATCTATTGAAATTCATTTATGACCTGCAAATCAATACTTTCAATATTTATAGTTACTCGTAGACGGATGAAATATAGGAAAAAAAAAAAAAAAAGTTGAGTCACTTTCCCAGTTGAGGTCAAACTCTTGTTTTCATACTGTCCTATCCGTCAGAGCCAGGCATGATGGCGCACACTGGTAAGCCCACCCTTGGAAGGCTGAGGAAGGAGGATCAGGTGTTCAGACTCACCTTCAGCTACACAATGAATTCAATGCCAGACTAGGCTTCTTGAAACCCTGTCTCAAAAGTCATGTTTAGTGCATTTCTTGACAGTTTTGCTTTGGTTTGTTTTATGTTGGTACTATCATTGCTTAACTAGACCCTAAGCATTGGGTGGTGGTGATAAACACCTTTAATCCCAGCACTTGGGAGGCAGAGGCAGATGGATCTCTGAGTTTGAGGACAGCTGGTCTACAGAGTGAGTTCCTGGACAGCCAGGGATACACAGCAAAACCCTGATTAAAGATAAATGAATGAATGAATGGCTCCAGGCATAGTGATAAAGTGCTATATAGTATTTCTAACAGTGTTTCTTCTTTTTTTATTGTTCTTTTTTTATATTTCTTTTTCATTTAAAAAAATCATTTTATTTTATGAGTCTGAGTGTCTTGCCTGCACATTTATCTATGCACTACTTGTGTGCCTGCTGCTCTCAAAGGCCAGAGAGAACACTGGATCTCCCGGGACTGGAGCTAGAGATGGTTTGTAAGATGTCACAAGGATACTGAAAACTGAACCTGGTTCCCTGCAAGAGCAATGCTCTTGACCACTGACCATCAGTCTACCTCTCGAATACTATTCCTAATCAAAAACAGGCTGAGATGAGCTTAATGGACAAAACACATGTATTAGAAAGTATGTAGCCCAAGTCTCACAGTCTGGGCCTTCCTGCCTCTGCCTTCCGAATGGTGGGATTATAGGTGTATGTCATACCTGGCAGCTTTCTTTTCTTTCCCAATGACCTCCCACATGCTAGGCGAATATCCTACCACTTGAACTGCATTCTAGCCCTAGATAACTTTTTTTCAGGCATGAAATTATGTACACGGTTATTGCCTATGATGTATATGTATATGCTGTGGTATATATTAAATATCATGACTTTGAATAGTTACACATATAACAAGTTACATGCTGATCAACTGATGAAAATGTGACCAGAGGCCTAAAGAAATCTAATTCTGTGTGATTTGAGTTTTTAAATAACTTTTTTGATATGTACAGGTGGTGTTTTGTCTGTATGCACGTCTTATGTACCATGTGCATGCAGTACCCTCAGGCGCCAGAAGAGGGTGTCAGACTGTTGTTATCCACCATGTGGGTACTAGGGGAGTCCCATCTCTATGGTCCCTTGGTTTGTTTGTTTTTTTAAAAGACAAGGTCTCAAATAGTCCACACTGGCCTTAAACTTGCCTTGAACCCCTGGTCATCCTACTTTCACCTCCCAATGCTGAGACTACAGGAGTGCAATCCTAAACCTGGTACTAAGTCTCATTTTGTATATCCTTGGAGCTGATGTTTCTATGACTGCATAATTAGTATATTCAGTAACAACTTTATAGAACATTAGAACGTAACTACAAATAAGTTGATCATATCTCATCTACTCCTGTGTGTTTGTGTGTGTGTGTTTTCTCTATGTAGTCTTGGATGACCTAGAGCTGGCTATGTAGACACCAACTGGACTCAAGTTCACAGAGATACTCCTGCCTCTACCCCCCCAAGTATGTACCATCATACCTGCCTCATCTACTCTTAATTATTTTTGTTGTTGTTTGGTTAAACACAAGTTCTTGTGTCCATTTAATCTTCTGTAAATTTCTCTTTAGTAAGTACTATTAACTTCCAAAATAGACTACTTCATGAAAAAGACCCGATGTGGTAGATGACTAAATCCACCTATGACAAAGGCTATCTTAATACAGGAGATCTGTAAAGCATGGAAAGCACATCCACAGTTAAAGCTATTATTAACATCCCAGACTGAACAGATACGCGGTTAACATTAGCACAACTGACTCCACGATGGAAATGCCACTCAGACAGTAAAGCTCAGCACTTAGACAGTACACCTGCCAAAATGAAGGTCTCATCTGTCCAAGTCCATAGTTCCGGGAAAGTGTCTAAATGTACAAACGTCGCTTTTTGGCTTCTGTAGTTCTGCTTCTGGCTGTTTTTGTTAACAGAAGTATGTCAACCCAGAACATGGTTTTTATGCTTAAAAGCTCAACCTGGGAAAGGCTCAGGGCTACACTGGGATCGGAAACATCAAGTGTAGTTGCTGGCTGGCTAATGAAGACTTTCTCTTGGCTTAAATTCACATCTGGAATCTTCTCTGGTGAATACTCCACAGCGGTTCTAAAAGGCAGGGTAAAGGGATGACCTGGTAGCTGAAGATGGTAAGAAGAGGTCCGAGAGAAGAATAGAAAACTATCATGCTTATAAAATGCATCATTATAACAGCAAATACTGGAAAATCCCATTAAGGAGCTGACGACACCCATTCTGATATAGTCAACTATAGTTTCGGAAAAATGTCCTGGCAGAAAAGCAAGTGGCAAAGCAGGTGGAATGCCCTGGGGTAAGATAGACATATACAAGTCACATTTATATATGCATATGCTTATTGTGTGGGCAGGAATAGAATCACTCTCTGTGGAATCCCTTCTGTGATTTCCACTTTAGGTGTATGATTCCGGAGCATTTTTGTTCTCTAGTCTATACAGATCTGTAATACTAAAATTTATTTTGGATAGGGTCTCAAAAACAGATCTTGGATTCCTAATTACCTGTCAAAATGATGAAGTTACAGGTATATATTACTACCTCTGGCCCAGTAATAGTGAAATTTATTACTTGTTTTATTTTTTTATAATTTATTTAGTTATTTTTATTTTGTGTGCATTAGTGTTTTGCTGAATATATGTCTGTGTGAAGGTGTCAGATCTTGGAGTTATAGACAATACCATGTGGGTGCTGGGAATTGAACTCAGGGCCTGCAGAAGAGTGGTCAATGCTCTTAACCACTGAGCCATCTCTGTAGCCCTACTTGTTTAAGATAGGGTTTCAGTCACTATGTAGGTCTAGCTGGCCTGGAATTCATAATGCAGACCAGGCTGGCCTAGAGCTCACAGAGATCCACCTGCCCTGACTTCCAAGTGCTGGGATTAAAGGTGTGCACCACTGTGCCCAACTCTGAATTTCTTTCTTTTTTTTTTTTTTTTCGAGACAGGGTTTCTCTGTGTAGCCCTGGCTGTCCTGGAACTCTCTCTGTAGACCAGGCTAGCCTCGAACTCTCGAACTCAGAAATCCACCTGCCTCTGCCTCCCAAGTGCTGGGATTAAAGGTGTGCGCCACCACTGCCCGGCAACTCTGAATTTCATAACACAAAATAAAATATAAATTTAAAATAAACAGTACTATACAACTGTAATCCTAGCACTTAAAAGGCAGAGGCAGGAGTATCAGGAGTTCAAAGTCATCCTCCGATACACAGCAGGTTCATTGACAGCCTAAGAAAACAAACAGACAAAATCTCTAGACCCTTAATGATTACAATGCTAATCAAAGCATAATCTGCCCCATCAATCAAGCAGAAGGGACTCTCAATGCATTTTAGCTACTTCCATCCCACAGAGCGTAAGGTGCAAAGTATTTACTGTGCTTTATCTCGGTAGAGCCACAGTCTAACTCTATGAATTAAGTAAAACTAGGCTTATGAGTCTCATTTCACTACTAAGAAACTACCCCCTGTCTGAGGTGCGCCCAGTACTCAAGTTATCCTTATTCCTAGGCCGCTAAAGTCCTACCTACACTATGACATATAGACATTTTTTTGCTTTCAAGTCTATCAGAGAAAGGCATCTGTTGCCTGTTTCACAACTGATTTATTATTAGTTTATTTATGTGAGGCCAAGGGCCAAACCTTTCAAACATATTAGGCAAGCACTCCACCACTCTGAACCTCAGACATGGCTCTTGTCACTGCATCTGAAGAGTGACTAAAGAAGCATGTGATCTATTTGATTACATATATAACAAGGAAGGATCCTGGGCAGGGGTGGAGACAGACCTGTTTGAGCCAGCTGGGCACACACAGAATCCCAAGGCCAGTGCTGCACTCACCGTTTACAACTCGCTTGCACTGGAGCATCTTAAGGTCAATCAGCTCCTGCAGACGAATCAGAAGACACTTGTCAGTCTTGGATGCAGATGGAAGATCTTCATTACATTCCCGATGACCACTGTTTAGCTGGTAACCACACTACTGACAACAAATCACGGCTTTGGGGACATGTCATGCTATCCCCTATAGCTAAACAGGGCAAGCAAGGCCCTGGGTGAGCTACCGTGAATCTGCTGTTTTCTCCAGGACCCTGGAGGTATTTGGAGCTGTCAGAGGATAAGCCACTCAGAGTGCTGGAAAGAGAATTATCCAGATAACAGACACTGAGTCCATGTCCTTAGGACTAGACTCAGTTCGAGCGTCAACACTTCAAAGAGCCTCCCACTGCAATTACTAGACAAAGGACAGGCAGTGAAGGGCTCCAGGGTCTGACACGGGCAAAATTAGAACTAGAGAATAAAAGCCCAAAGAGGAAGATCTGAAACAAACACAGGAAAGTAAAATCTACTCAGCTCACTGCATGTGAACAAAGAGGTGAGACGCACACCTGGAGGGTAAGCTACTCCAGCAGATTCAGGACAGAGAAGAGAGTTCTTTAAACTCAACATTATATATAGAAGGAAATGTGATATCTACTGATTGGTAATTCTTGGTTGGATCCAACGCTGTTCTGCTTTGTTCAGTGAGTATTTAAGTATTTAAGCAAATGTGGAAAACAAGGCTTATGGCTCATGGCCATGGACTCTGGCATCCAAAAGAAGAAAGTAAAAGACTTTATCCTGACTGTCCTGGAAATCTCTCTGTAGACCAGGCTGGCCTTGCACTCAGCTCCCTCTGGCCCCTGAGTGCTGGGATTAATGGCGTGCACCCCACTATCCAGCTTTGCTCTACGTGTTTGTGTCTATTCTTTCCTTATAACATTCAAATCACCAAAAGTCTAGTGTTCGGTCCTGGACAAACAACTACAATCAAGTTTAGGTAATCCTGTGGTACCCGGAGGGGTGGGCAATGTCCAATAGGCAAAAAGACAGTGGGCATCCGGCGTGTATATATGCTGTATGAATGAATGTACACGTGTGTGCAGAAGCATTAGTCCATGAAGTTGTGTGAAGGCCAGAGATTAATGTGAAATGTCTTCCTCAATTGCTCTCCGCCTTATTTTAAAAATTATTTTTTTTTCTAAAGATTTATTTATTTTATGTGAGTACACTGTAGCTCTCTTCAGACACACCAGAAGAGGGCACGAGACCCCATTACAGATGGTTGTGAGCCACCATGTGGTTGCTGGGAATTGAACTCAGGACCTTTGGAAGAGCAGTCAGTGCTCTTAACCACTGAGCCATCTCTCCAGCCCCTAAAGATTGTTTTATTACATCTATTCATTACACATATACCATATGTGTATGTGTGTGGTGTACATGTGATTTGTTACACATATACCATATGTATATATGTGTAGTGCACACATGGATATCAAAAACAACTCGAGAGCCCATTCTATTCTTCTACCATGTGAGACTCAGGCTTAGCAACAAGTATCTCTAACCACTGAGCCATCACACCAGTCCAATTTTTCTTTAAAAAAGCTGGAGAGGTAGTTTGCCTACATGTTTGAGGCCCTAGATTCAATCAATGCTCAGTACCAGGGGACGGGGGAAAAGTCCAGAAACCTCGCTTCTAAGCATATATTCTAATTGAAAGTAAGATCTCAAAGAGATACTTGCAGCATTTCTCACACTCTTAGGAAGCAAAAGCAATGGGCTATATCACACAATGGAACATATACAAGCAGTAAGCACAACTGAGAGACACTCTCAGACCAGCTCTACCACTTGGAGGAGGCTCAGACCCAACAGCCAGGAAGAAGCAGATGAGCCAAGCACCCTGAAAGAAGCAGAAACCTGCAGAACTGCTTAGAAAAAATGAAGAGCAGCTTAGCAGCCTGGAAGAGCTTCAGACCAACTGAGCCACCTGGAAAGTGCTCTCCCCCAACATGGTGAGCTTCCCTGCAGGCTGTGCAGTGTGCTCCAAGTTTATAAGTAACCCTTCACCCCTATTCCTATAAATAACCTCAATAAAGTTCTGGCTTGCCAAGTTGGACTTCTTGGTCTGTTGTTGGTTCCGTATCTGGAGGTATCTAGAGTGAGAGACATCTGCTCACATCTCCCCAGGAATAGTGTCACACAACTGATAGACCTACAGGGAAATATCCTTTATATATGAAATAAAAATGAAAAATAAATCTCATCAGATGTGGTGGTGTTTGCCTTTAATCCCAGCATCAGCAAACAGGCAGGCAGATCCCTGGGAATCAGCCAAGTTGGCCAACATAGTTGCAGGCCTAACACAGCTACAATACTAGAAGACCCTGCCTCAGAAAACTAATACATACACAAAGAAAACAAGTCAGATGCCTCCTTACAGTTTGGACTAGTGGAGTACCTCTGTACACGGTGGGTAAACTGACTTGACTCCGTAATCTCACAGATAAACTATGTGATTCACCTAGAAAGAACGTCCAGGCAGTTTGTATTGATGCTGGCCTGTAGAGCAACTCTGGCTCCACCAGGGGGCACTGGGTACCACACTGTACCATGCCCGAGCTTGGGACTCTGGTTGCAAGCTAGCAAGAGATGCACCTGTTTCTCTCCCTGCTCTCCTCAGCGCTGCAGCTGGGCTGGGTGTGAGCCTCAGGACTGACTCCTCTAGCAAAAACCTCTTTGTTCCTCATACCAACTCTCTCAGCATAGAGCACATCAAACAAGACTAAAGTATGTGGCATTTCCACTCCAAATTTGAGCAGGACTCTGAAAGAATTAGTCACATTTACTAGTAAAACATGCTTTTCAAGTCGGGGCAATAGCTCATCCAGCGGAGTGCTTGATGTGCCAGCTTGATTACCCAATTGAATCACCAACACCCATATTAAAACAACAAGCGACAACAACAAAAAAACAAAAACAAAAATCGGGTGTAGTGGCTGGGTAAACAGCCCAATTGGTAAAGTGACTGTCAGCTAAGTATGAGAATCTCAGTTCAGATGCTCAGCCTGTAAGTCACTCTAATACCACACACACACACACACACACACACACACACACACACACACACACACACACCACACTTAGTTCTGTTCCTTTGGAGAACCCTGGCTAATACAATACCAGTACTTGGGAGGTGGAGACAGTGGAATCAAAGTCACTCTCAGCCATATAGTAAGTCTACAGCTAGCCTCAGCCACCCTACCTCAAGACAAGAGAGAGAAGGGAAGAAAGAAGGGGAGAAGGAAGAGAGGGAAAGTGAGAAAAGGAGGCCATACTAAAATAAGCACGTGATCCCTGGGCCCCTAACTTCTAAATGGCATGAACTACCTCATGACTCCCCACAGAACTAGCTGACACCGTGGAACCCGGCAGACAGAGTCTTCCCACTGCTCAGCTTCCATAAGCCCCATTAGTGCAGGTGACTTAGGCTGTCAACCAACGACGTTAGGACAAGCGCCGTACTGTGGAGGCCATCCCTCCCCGCCCTCATATTATATTCTACATCTGTCTCAGTGAAAACATGCCCATGCTCTGGCTCTCTGTACTCTGAGGAAAGATGGTCAGAAGAAAAGGAGCAAATCTATAAACAGAGGCATCACTGCGACACTGAGAGGCCTGCCCTAAAACAGGCCAGAGCCCAGGTGAGCTGAGGACTCTAAGGAGCTGAAGCTCTTACCACGGCCTACTCTAGTACATGCAACTTGCAGGTGGGCGTGGCAGGGACAAGGGTGCCAGCACTCCATGGATCAAGTCTCCATGGACAACCATCCATCGATGAAGACGGAATATAAAGCACAGGTCCAGTGGAGATGGGCACCATTCACCCTGAGCTTGGAAGTGACCCTGGGAGGACACAAAGGGACAGACATGCAGTAGAACAGCAGGGAAGCTGGGGCTTCCCTAGAATCCATCACCCCCTGAACCTGGACGGCAAAAGGGGACTGCCCTGGTGAAGACCTACAACATCTCTCTACTGTTCTGCAGAAGCATGTAGAGTTACCCATAAGCAAAGAAAAGGTAACCGTTGCCTGCTGGTCATGGTGAAGCATGCCTTTAAATCCTACACTCAGGAAGATGGAGACATGTAGATCTCTGGGAGTTCAGGGCCAGCCTGGTCTACGTATTTCCCTGGAATTTGGTCTTTTTTGTCCCATGCCTCAGGCTCTGAAACGTCAGTGGTTCTTTACTGTTCCTTTTCCCATTTCCCTTCCAAACCCACACACTGAGCACCCTAGGGACGGACCCAAGAGGCAGATTATTAAAGTCAGGTGCCCCACGCATGACCCCAGGAGACAGGCTCCTCCCTCCCTAGGCAAGTTCTAACATGGGAAAGGTTTACGGACCTGCTTACTAACCAATTCCTATCCCATGCCTCTAACATAAGGACGGGAGCCTCTGTAACCTCAATTCAGAAATATCCCTCCTGCCCTCTGCCTTACATTTTTGGAAAAGCCACATACCTGGAGACACATGCCTGTAATCCCAGAACCCACAGAACTTGAGGGCTGGCGTCAGGAAGATCTAGATTTCAAGGCTAGCCTTAGACATGTATACAGTTTTGGGACAGCCTGAGTTACAATAACACCTTGTCTTGAAAAAACAGGGCTTCTCCTCTTCTCTCTCTGCATGAATTCTCCCTTCTTTCTCCCTCCCTCCCCCACCTTCTCTTTCCCCATGGTGACTTCCCAGGCTTTGGCCCTTGGGGCCAGCAAACTCGCCCACCAGAGAGCAGCTTCCCAGTAAACCTGTCTTTAATATATAAAAGAAAGAAAGAAAGAAAGAAAGAAAGAAAGAAAGAAAGAAAGAAAGAAAGAAAGAGAACAGGAAGAAAAATCTCTGGCGAATACTTCCTCCCTTCTTCCTCTTACCCCTCACTTCACCTTGCCACCATCTTAGAAACCTCTGGTCCTATGCTACTGTTAAGTAACAGTACATGTATCCCCAACCAGGGACAAACCCCACTGCCAACCCCCTCAGGCTTCTGAACTTTCTGTGCCATAGGGCTGTGAGCCAGCATACCAGCTGCCAGTCAAACTCTACACTACAAATTCAAAAGCTTTACCTTCCACAAGTTGCTGCAAAATGACTAATGCCATCCTATCGAACTTTATGTCTGCCTGGTCATGTCTGACCCTTCCACACACCCACCACCCCCAACAGCCACCTTGGCCTTGGCAGTGTTTCTGGGAGTATCTATGACCTTGATCATGACCCAAACTTATACTGTCTAGACAATACTGCTGACCCTTGCAAAAAAAGCAGAAGTTACCTAGGAGTGGTGGCTGACGAACACCTTTAATCTCAGCACTGAGGAGGCAGAGGCAGGTGGACCTCTGTGAGTTCGAGGTCAGCCTGGTCATCTACAGAGCAAGTTCCAGGACAGTCATAGCTACACGGTAAAACCTTATCTTGAAAAACAGAAAGGAAGCAAGCAGGCAGATGTTACTAGGCCGCTCTAAAATCCCTCACTAATGTATCGCCTCCCATTCCAGTACTGAAGTAATTATGGTTTTGTCTTTGAACATGCTATACGTACTCTGATTTAGGAACCAGGGACAAGGGAGGAACATCCTATTCACTGCACATGCTCCCCTTTGTCCAGCCCTCTGCTGTCTCTCTTCCTCTTCAGAGGTAGGAGCCACCTGTGTTTCTCCCCAATAAATCTCTTGTGTGAGGTTTGTTGCATGGTGTGTCTTTCTGGTATTTCTTGGCTCCTGACGGCTAAGATAACCTTATGCCAGAAAAACCTGTACACCTGATCATAGGTACCAAGAGACTTTTCAGAGGCTCTAGCCTGATCTTGGTCTAGCCATTAATAAAAGGACTCAAAACTTTTCATCAGCATGGTTATCAATAAATACCTCCACTCAGATCATTTCATTATCCCATTCCTCCTTTTATTTTTGTTTGTTTGTTTGTTTGTTTGTTTTTCGAGACAGGGTTTCTCTGTTTAGCCCTGGCTATCCTGGAACTCACTCTGTAGACCAGCCTGGCCTCGAACTCAGAAACCTGCCTGCTTCTGCCTCCCGAGTGCTGGGATTAAAGGCGTGCGCCACCACCGCCCGGCTCCATTCCTCCTTTTAAACAGAAGAGCGGCTTCCTAATCCTCCTGTAGCCTGTAGCCATGGGAGCCCTTGCTTTCTTTTCCTTCCATTCCTTCTTTCTTCTTTGTCATCTCAGAGAAGGGAAGGTCCTACACTGTGCCAAGAAGCTTAGGTGTTGTGAAGTAATTTCCTCCAAAATAAAACATTTTATCCTGGATGAAAGCTAGTTAGCCACACTGGATGTTCTAAAGGGAAGTGAAATCTTCTATCCTTGAACCTTCCATGCTGAAGGGGGCTTCCTAAAGACATAGGATGTTTTTAAGGGGAGGTGAAACATTCCTGCTTAAAGCGGAGCCCTTAGACTCCTGAAGTAAACAACTACTCAGGAAGGCTTCAGGAAGTTTCTGAAACTGACCAGATAAGCTCCTCCCACCCCAAAGATTCATAAGTGGTAAGGACTTCTAAAAAACACTCTCTCTAAGCCACATGGGAGAGACAGAGACTGGCTGAGCTATCTAAGAGCCTCAGACCAACTGAGCTACGGAATAGAGTCTCCAATCTATGTAGCTGCCTGAAAGTTGTACAGTAGTGTGTTCTACATGTCTGTCTTTTCAGAGTTGTCACCCATGGGGTGAGCTTTGAGTCATTTCTGTTCCTGTATGTAACTCCTCACCCACACTCCTGAAGTAACTCCAGAAAAATTCATTAGATCATTATATTATAATCTTAAACAAACAAACAAAACCTCACTGGTTCACCAAGTTGGACTCTGTACTTTGCTCTGTCACTGGTACCCCATCTGAGAGGAGTATATGTTGGTTCACATCTCTCCAGAAAAAAAAACACACACGCACACACAAAACAGCAGCCATGTCTTGAAAAACCAAAAAACAAAACAAAACAAAAAAAACCAAAACAGCAGGCAGCTGGACTAAACACTCAGAGACTGAACCCAGTCTGGGTGACCAAAGTAAGATTCTGTCTCCAAAAAAAGACTCCTGGAGTCAGTAAGGTAAAAGACCTTCCTGCACAAGCTTGATGACCCAAGTTTGATCTACAGAACCCAAGAGAATATTAGAGAACCAACGCCCCAAGTTGTCACGTGACTTCCACATGCACCTCCAGTTCCTATACACATGAACATTTTGTTAAAAGAACCTTAAACTTGTACGTAACTCATGGTTGAAGGTCTAAGATCTGCAAAGCCCTAGATTCCATCTCCAGCACTGAAAACAAAAACCTGACCTGTCTCCCAAGACTTGACCTTGCCTGTCACCCTACCCCACCCCATATTGAATGCCTTCCTTCCTCTTATTCTAGAAACATGCAAGTCATCTACAAACAACTTCCTTTACCCTTCTTCTTTCAAACCTCAAACTTCCTATACTTGCCTGAACCCTCCCTTCCCCACCTACCCTTAAATACCTGACAGTGTGGTTGAAAGCCCTATTTCTACTTCTTGGCTTGCTATTGACTCCTCAGCCCCAAGTCCTCTAATATACCACTAATATACCACTAATATAATATACCACTAATATACCACTAATATACCACTAATATGCCACTAATATACCACTAATATACCACTAATATACCACTAATATAACGCAGCTGTTCCCAGATGCCTTGTTCTCGTATCGAACACCTTCTGGCTTTCTTCTTGTAGTTCATTGATTTATTTGGTTGGCCAGCTATTTGGTTGTCTGTTTAGAGTATTTTTGTTTTTATATTTGTTTTGAGATGGGTCTCATGTAGCTGGATCTATGCATGGTAGCTCTCACCTCAAAAATTAGCACTTGGGAGTCTGAGGTAACAGTATAGACTCTGGGCTAGGCTGGGCTATTAAGATGCTATCTCCAAAAACAAAAACAAAAACTAAAAAACCAACCCAAAAACTACATTTGTTAAAGGATTAATCTCTAATGCAACGTTTCCAGAAGTGGGGCTTTGGGCTTCATCAGTAAGTCAATCTACAGATATTATTGGGAGGTGTCAAAAACTTGCAGAGATGTGGCTCAGTTGGAGGAAATTCCTGCTTCATTTCCTCTCCCTGTTGCTGATACAAGGTGTGAAGCCTCCTCTACCACACATCTCAACAGTCATGGATAACAGAACTATCTCCAGATAATTTTGATAAGTGCTCAACTGAGAATACCCCCTCACTGTCCAGTATCAGCTTACTCTGGCAATCCCATTTTCCTATCAGAACTTTCTGAACCTGGCTCTAAAACCCTAATAATCTCTGGTGCAGCCAATGTATACACTTACTGATCTACTACCCCAAAAATCCTATAACTACCGACACCAACCTTATCCAACTTCCTTACTCTAAATCTGGTTCTCTTTTTCTTCTTCCAAACTTCAATTCATTCACTGGTGTACTGAATGGAGGCCTGGGCAGTGACATGACAGATTGTCCATCTGCCCATCTGATCCACAGCCTCCTACTGCCCAAGTCCTGAGGGCATCATCAGTATCGAGTGTGGATCTCTTCTGACTTTAGTGAGACCATGAATGGCGATCCCATTCTGCCTCCCCAGCCTCCTAAACACTGCCATGCCCAAAGATGAAACCTATCTCCACTCCTCCAAGATTCCCAGAAATCCAGGAATACCTTACCTCACAGTAAACAATGTCTGCTCCATAATCCAGGGCTAGGAGGCGCATGGGCAGAGTCCCCACCCGAACCATTGGGGCTAAGATGAGTTTATTGTGGTAGCACAGGGAGAGGCTGTTCACAATCATTCCTCTTCTGCTATGCCTGAAGAAAGCGAAAATGTAGGTTAGAATAGAGTGGTGGGCAGGTGAGATGGCTCAGTGGGGAAAAGTACTTGCTGCATAACCTGACCATCTTGAGTTCGATGCCTGGAACCAGCAGTGGAAGGAAAGAGCTGACTCCTGAATGTTGTCCTCGGATCTCTATGCATATCATACATACCCATGCCCCACCATGCACACAGTTCAAAAATAATTTTTAAATTAAAAAAAAAAAAATGTAGAGTTGGAGAGAAATCTCAGTGGTTAGGTGCACTTGCTGCTCTTGCAGGGAACTGAGTTTGATTCCCAGGACCTACATGGCAGCTTACAACCTTCTGTAACTCCAGTTTCAGGGGTTCTGAGGCCCCCTTCTGGCCTTCACAGGCATCAGGCACACATGTGATGTAAAGACACACATGTAGGCAAAAACCCTTATATACATAAAAACAACAGGAAAAGAAGAAAAAGAAACATAAATGGGAAAAAAAATCCCTTCTGTCATGGAGGGCAGGCTTCCTCCATCCTTCAAATACTTACCTCTGATTCATGTTCAATCTTAACAACTATTCATTAAGTGCCAGTCACTGTCACAGTCTCTTGGGAACAAAGCTATCGTAGTCTCAGAGAACAAAATGGACTGGCAAGCCAGGTGGTGGTGGCGCACACCTTTAATCCCAGCACTTGGGAGGCAGAGGCAGGCGGATTTCTGAGTTCGGGAGTTCGAGGCTAGCCTGGTCTACAGAGTGAATTCCAGGACAGCCAGGGCTACACAGAGAAACCCTGTCTCGAAAAACCAAACCAAACCAAACCAAACCAAACAAAAAAAATGGACTGGCAAGACTAGGAGGTCTCCTGCCTCACAGAGTGTTCAGCCCAGTGGGGGAGTACAAGCAAAAACCAGTAAGCATATAAATAAATAAACAATTATATAGTGTGCTAGTATATAATGGAAACCAGTAATGCACATGAATTTTTAAAAAAGCAGATGAAGCAAGACTGAAAGCATTAGGATCAATTTTCAATAGAGCTGAGGTGTGCTTAAACAAAGAAGGTAAGACTTAAACAGAGATGTGGATTAGCCAAGTAAGATCTAGAAGAACACTCAATAGAGGCAATAGCCATTGCAAAGGACCCAAGGCAGAAGTTTATCTGGTATGTTGGAGTTGTCCTAAGGAGGATAACATGGACTACACAACAGGGAAAATCATGGAAGCCCAATGTTTTAGGAGCAGCAGTTAGATGATACGGGGTAGTACTCAGATCATGTAGGTCTTTGGGGAACATACAAGACTCTACTGGCTCTTCAAAAAGATGACCCAGGGCTGGTGAGATGGCTCAGCAGTTAAGAACAGTGACTTCTCTTCCAGAAGTCATGAGTTCAATTCCCAGCAACCATATGATGGCTCACAACCGTCTGTAATGAGATCTGATGCCCTCTTATGGGTGTTTGAAGCCAGCTACAGTGTACTTACATATAATAAATAAATAAAATCTTGGGACCGGAGCGAGCGGGAGAAGGGAAAGGGGGTTGGGGGGAAGATGACCCAGTAAAGGGTTGTAAGTGGGGAAGTAGCAGGAGCTCACTCATGTTTTCAAAGGATCACACTGACTGTTGTACTAACAGCAAACAGGGGAAGGGACCATGAAAGGACTTGCACCTGGCTGGAAGGCAAAGAGATCAACTCAAAGGCAATTCAATAAATCAACTTGAGAGCTGGCAAGGATTCAACGAGGCTGGTAAGCAGTGGTCACATTCTAGAAACACTGTGAAGGGAGAGACATAGGGAACCAAAAGAAAGTCTGGGTCTGGGTGTCTGGGTGTCTCTGGGTGTCTAGGTATCTGGGGGACTGGTGGGCTGGGGCTGGGCATGGTGAGCTCTAAGCTAGCCAGGGGTACATGAAGAAAGCACAGGTTGGGGGGAACAATCAAGCCTCAGTAAGCATCAGGACTGTAGTTTACTAGTAAGGCACTTGCCTATTATGAATACACAAGCCCTAGCCTGCATCCTTACTACCATAAAGAAGGAGAATAAAATTAATCTATGTCCAATTTTTGTTCTTAAAGGCAGGGTCTCGCTACTACAGTCCAGGTTGACTGGAACATGCTATATAGATCAGGCCGGCCTCCAACTCAGAGACCTGACTGCCTCTGACTTTTAAGTGCTGGGATTAACAGCATATGCCACCATGCTCAGCTAAATTTTAATCTTTTTAATGGTATGGTCATCAACAGGTAGCTATTAGGAATCTGGTTCTAGGAACCTCAAAGATATCAAAATCTGAGGCTGCTCAAGCTCCTTATAAAAGCATATAGTCATATATGCTTTTGATTTTAGGGGGAATTGAATTCAGGACTTCAAAAACGCTAATAGGAAAGCACTGTATCACCAAGCTATATCCCAACCCTCTCCCACACTCTTTAAATCATTATGACCAGGCCAATATAAATATGATGTAAATACTTGTTATACTGTATTGTTAGGGAATAACATTAAAGAGAAATGTCTACACATATTTAGTACAGACACAATTTTTCCACAAATCTTTTCACTCTACAGTGGAAAAATCCACAGATGTCCACCTATAAATACGGAGGGCCAGCTCTAGTGAATGAAATTAAAACACTCTCTCCAGACATTAGGAACCTCCCAAGTAATCAATCCACAAACATTGACCTTATCTCTCACTCCAGACACTTGACACTTGATGTCCCCCCCTTTTTTTAGATGTGTTCAAGAAGTCTGAAGTAAAATAAATAAATAAATAAAAATGTAATAACCTGAACCACCAAGTTCAAGTCAAGTAGTCTGCTTGACCAGTGCCACTCCATAAGAGTAACGGGACCCTTCTACTTCTAGTGAGGCAATTTACAACCTGCCTGAGAAGCCAGTGGGTATGGTGGGTCTGGTCTGAGAAGCATGAGGGGGTGACAAGGAACGGAGGGCGAAGCTTGCCTGGAAAGGAAGAGACGAAGTGTAAAAAACGAGAAACAACACCTGAAAGAACTAAGACCATCTCTCTCACTTCAAAGACGAGATAATCTGAAGACCATCACCATGCACTCTAGGTTCTAAACTAGAGAACAGGGTTGAGCCTAAACCCAGACTTCCAACTTCTGCCTCAGTCCCCAGACCAGACTCTCAGGAAACTTGCATCACCCAGTCTTTGACCGGAGCCCGTATCTACGAAAACAACGTCGTACTTTGTACCCTTGGAGTTCTATGAGATGACTGACCCGGACAATGAAGACCACAAGTAAGAATCTCAGAAATGAAGCACTCAATTGACAGAGGCCATCCTCACTCGATTCCTTGAGCCAGGGACCCATGGCCCCCTCCTATTGCGGATTCCCACTCCTGCCTCCACCGAGTACCCTTCCCCAAAGATGACCCCAATCTGGACATCGCCATGCCGGATGGAAACTACAGACCTCGCAGCCGCTGAACTCTTAAGGATCCTCCCTCCTTCCTGACGGTGCTGCAGCGCCACACGCCACACTGATCCGCGCCAGCCACCGTACTCCAGATTACGGGCGCGTATTTGACGTCACTAACATGCGCCTCTTCTGCATCAAGGGAAATATGGCTTTAACCAGGCCAACGCGGCTATTATCATTAGCCGTTCGATTGCTTCTCGAGCCTCGACGGAACATAGTGGTGCGCGGTTCCGACCAGTCCTTGCCAGTGGTGCGCATTCCGCGGACTCTACAGCGACGGCAGGAACAGCAACGAAGCGGCCGCGGGAGTTTCCAGCGGCCGGTGCTAGTGCAACCTGGTCCACTGCTGGTCTCCGCACGGCGGCCAGAGTTGAACCAACCCGCACGCCTCACGCTGGGCCGTTGGGAGCAGGCGCCACTGGCTTCGCGTGGCTGGAAGCATCGGCGATCGCGTCGGGACCATTTTTCCATAGAGCGAGTGCAGCAAGAGGCGCCCGCCCTGAGGAACCTCTCGTCCCAGGGCAGCTTCGTGGACCTGGGTCTGGAACCCCGAGTGCTGCTCGCGCTTCAGGAAGCTGTCCCCGAAGTTGTTCGGCCAACCTCAGTGCAGTCGAAAACCATCCCCCCACTGCTTCGCGGCCGCCATATCCTTTGCGCTGCCGAAACCGGTAGTGGCAAGACGCTTAGCTACCTATTGCCCCTATTTCAACGGCTCCTGAGAAGGCCAGTCCTGGACTCCCGCAGTTCCACCACTCCTCGAGGCTTGGTTCTGGTACCTTCCCGAGAATTAGCCGAACAGGTGAAGGCAGTGGCCCAGTCACTGGGTAAGTACTTGGGCCTGCAGGTGATAGAACTTGGCGGAGGCGTCGGAATGAGTAGGCTCAAACTTCAGCTGTGTAAACGACCATCCGCAGATGTGCTCGTGGCTACTCCAGGAGCGCTGTGGAAGGCTCTGAAAAGTCAACTGATCAGCTTGCATCATCTTAATTTCATAGTGCTGGATGAAGTCGACACACTGGTAGATGAAAGCTTCCTGGAACTGGTGGACTACATCTTGGGCAAGAGCCCTATAGCAGAAGGTCCAGCTGAGTTAGAAGACCCCTTTAGTTCCAAAGCTCAGTTAGTGATGGTGGGAGCCACGTTTCCAGAAGGCCTAAACCAGTTGCTGGGTAAAGTCACTAGCCCAGACAGTGTGACCACCATCACCACCTCCAAGCTGCACTGCATCATGCCCCATGTCAGACAGACATTTATGAGACTAAAGGGAGCCGAGAAAGTGACAGAACTGGTTCAGGTCCTCAAACAGCATGACAAAGCAAATAAGACAGAACCCTCCGGAACTGTCCTGGTATTCTGCAACAGCGCCAGCACAGTGAACTGGCTTGGGTACATTCTGGATGACCACAAAATTCAACATCTAAGGCTGCAAGGGCAGATGCCAGCCTCAATGAGGGCAGGTATCTTCCAGAGTTTTCAGAAGGGCTCCCAAAGCATACTTGTCTGCACAGACATTGCCTCACGAGGCCTAGACAGCATCCATGTGGAAGTGGTTATCAATTACGATTTCCCCCCTACTCTGCAGGATTATATCCACAGGGCAGGAAGGGTGGGTCGTGTGGCCAGCCAAGTGCCAGGGACTGTTATCAGTTTTGTGACCCACCCCTGGGATGTGAGCCTGGTTCAGAAAATTGAACTGGCAGCTCGTCGAAGGAGAAGCCTTCCAGGACTAACATCTTCAGTGAGGGACCCTTTGCCTTAACAACCCTGATTTTTGGCTGGCTCGAATCTAAATGCTAGAGCAAGGATCTTCCTGGGGGTCAAGGAAAGTTGAACACTTGTCAGTGAGTGACGTTGGGTCACATCAGCCCTTGCCTCTCTGAAAGCATAATGAATTTTTCGGAGATTTGAAAAGTAAAACTACTGGACAGGATTGGAAAGTAAAGTTTAGAAAATAAAGTGGATTTTGACTTTACATATTGTCATGATTTCTTTGCCTTCTAATTGTATGTGTGTGTGGAGGTCAGAGGACAATTCTCTGTATACAGTCAGTATTCTCTTTCCACCTTTCTGTGTGTTCCAGGGATCTGAGATCATCCCACTTGCTTGACAAGTACCTTCACCCACTGCACTATCTCAATGGACCTTTTATCATAGAGTTCTAAACAGTGATTGTTTGTGTGTTTTGAAAGAAGTTGGTGCCGGGCGGTGGTGACGCACGCCTTTAATCCCAGCACTTGGGAGGCAGAAGAAGGCGGATTTCTGCGTTCGGGAGTTCGAGGCTAGCCTGGTCTACAGAGTGAATTCCAGGACAGCCAGGGCTACACAGAGAAACCCTGTCTCGAAAAAACCAAAAAAAAAAAAAAAAGAAAAAAGAAAAAAAAAGAAGTTGGCACTATGTATCACACAATGGACTTGGGCTCTAATAATCTTCCTTTCTTTTTTTAAAGACAAGGTCCCTTTCCTGGTGGTGGTGGCACATGTCTTTAATCCAGTACTCAAGGGGCAGACACAGGTGAATCTCTTGAGTTCACTTAGCTAATAATGGTTTTGTGGGGCCACCTCTAATAGTAACCACCATTTGACGATTTTGACGATTTACACTCTATTATATGTAGGGTTTTATTGGCTTGGGTTGAATAGCTTTGTTTTAGTTTTTTTTTTTTTTTTTTTGGTTTTTTTTGTTGTTGTTGTTTTTCAAGACAAGGTTTTTCTTTATAGCCTGGGCTGTCCTGGAACTCATTCTGTAGACCAGGCTGGCCTCAAACTCAGAAATCCGCCTGCCTCTGCCTCCCAAATGCTAGGATTAAAGGTGTGCGCCACCACTTCCCGGCGATTTTTTTCTTTAGATTGATTTTTAAGTGTGTGTGTGTGTGTGTGTGTGTGTGTGTGTGTGTATGCACATGAAGCAGGCACTTTCAGAACTTAGAAAGTGAGATCCCCTGAAGCTGAAGTTACATGCAATTGTGACTATCGCCATTCAGGTACTGGAAACCAAACTCTGGTCCTCTACACGTATACACTCTTACCTACTAAGCCATCAACCAAAGCCCTTGTTTGGTTGTTGTTGTTGCTGCTGTTGTTTCTTTTGGTCATAGTTGTTTACCACACTGGCAGTTGGACCCATAACCTCAAGCTTGTTGGTCAAGTGCTCTATCACTGTACCTCCAACCTGATTTGTTTTGAAAAGAGAAGGGAAAGGGAATACCTTTTGGTATTATGTCACTGTGCCATGAGTGTGTTTTCTACAAAATACTATTTCTACAAAAATATTCTGCCAATCCCACTGTGTAATGTCCAGGCAAGAACTGCTTTCCCTTCCCGCACCTTTAACATCCTCCTAACTTTAAATATAATGACCCACAGCACTTGTCAGTATGATGAGCTTGTCATGTTTCTGTCAGGTATAAATCTGAAATCCTATCATGAATGATACGAAGCCATAGTGTTGCTGGAAACCCACCGATTCAGGGGCCTGTGAAATGACTCGATGGATTATAGCACCTGCCATCAAGTCTGACAAGCCAAGGTCCTTCCCAGGACCCACATGGTAGAAGATAACTTACTACCTCACGTTGTCTTCTGACCCCAGCATCATTCTGTGCAATTTGGGTACACAGAGAGACATACAAACAAAAAGTAAATGTAAAAAAGAATTTTCCTAAAAGCAAATACATTATCTGTGTGGCCTTGGATAAGCCCAGAGGAGATTTCATTGTTTGAATTTGGCAGGGGTAAAAAGAGCCTATGTAGCCGGGCAGTGGTGGCACACCCCTTTAATCCCAGCACTTGAGAGGCAGAGGCAGGCGGATTTCTGAGTTCGTGGCCAGCCTGGTGGTCTACAGAGTGAGTTCCAGGACAGCCAGGGCTACACAGAGAAACCCTGTCTCAAAAAACCAAACAAACAAACAAAAAAGAAAGAGCCTATGTTTCCGTTAGGGTTGTTTCCCAGTCATGAAACTTGCTCTGTAGACTAGAGTGGTCTCAAACTTGGTTCTTCCTGCCTCTGCCTCACAAATGCTGGGATTAAAGCTCGGCAGGGTAGCATATGCCTCATATGCCTCTCATATGCCACCACACCCAGCTTCAGTTTTAGTAGTTTGAAAGGGTCTTAATCTGTAATCCAGGCTAACCTTGATAACCCTGAACCCTTCCTGATGCTCCTACCTCAGCCTCTCATTACTACTCCTACATTTATTGGAGTGCTTCACCCTTATTTAAAAATCGCATTTATTTGTTGATGGGAAAACATTCTGTTGAGGTCTGCTCCCCCGACCCCCAGCATAGCTGTAGCCATTTTGTTTCATGCCTGCCAGCTATTTCATATTGTTGCTGTAATGCCTGCCAGTCACTGACACAGAAAAAAGATAACTCAGAGTAGGGTCATGCTGACCACTTCCCCTGTTGTGTTCTGTATGTTCTGAGGTATGTTAATCTTAAGAAATTCCACAAAGCTTTATGTAGGGCCCATCAAATCAAAGGTCAATATGAACTGTTACGGCTAAAACGGCTCGAGTCAGAGCTGACCACTAGGCAGCACTGCCTGTAACCTGCATATGAGCTCACTGTGACTTTTGTGGGTGTTTTTTTTTTTCCTTTATAAACTTGCCTTCAGAAATGTTTGATGTTGTAGTTCAGATAACTCTGAGCTACGTCCCTAATCTGACACTGATCAGTTTCAGGATATGTGTTCAATAAACCATCCCTGTCTGAGTTTGGTGTTTGTGTGGTTTGTTGGAGCTAGTCTCAGAGTCCAACAACTCTTGATGAGTTTGAATTCCTTATCCCCCTGCATCCACTCCCAAGTGCATACAAGAGTAGCCATTCTAGTTTATGTGGTGCTGGGGATGGAACCAAGGGCTTCATGCAGGCCAGGTGAGCAGTCTGAGCATAGCTCTCCATCCACACCCTTCTCCTTAGATTTTCTTGAGATCTCAATTATTAAATAAATAAATAAAGGTTCTATAAATGTATTCTATGGACAGAACAAAGTCAATAAAAGCCTGTCTGGCTGTTTTTGTTTGTGTGTGTGGTTTTTAGATTTTTATCTTATGGATGTTTTGCCTGCATATATGTTTGAGCACCATAACCATGCAGTGCCCTCAAAGGACAA